TTGAATGATAATTGCTTCATCAACACGAGCGATCCTTCTCATTTAATTCTTTATCAGTATAAAAATATTGAGTGCTGCTTGCTTTCACTTTCCGCTGGTGGTCCTCTGCTCATACTAACTGCAACTAATCTTATTTATTAGTTGCAACACAACTCCTAGCGTGCCACATAGAGTACATGCACAGCTACACCTCCCTCTTTTTTGTTTGTCTAAAGATGGAGCATTGCCACCAACAGAGCAGATGAAAGCGCTGTTTGAACCAAAGTCATCCATGAGGACAACAGCCTCTTCTTCACCAGCCCAGTCTAACAAATCACCTTGGCTTTGGTGAGTTAAGGGTATGTGATGCTGACTGAGTGAGTGAGTGTGTGTGTGGCTTCATCTAATGGGGACTGAGCTCAGCTCTCTCGTCTGGCTTTTCTTTCTGTTTTTCTCATTTGCTCTTCCTTTTTCTACTCAGCATTATATGTAATATGCAAGTCAAAACCACCAATACTTAACGCATAAGCCCTGAAGATGAGTCACACACACACACACACACACGAGTCCAGAGTGAGATGATGTTCTTGATAAATAATATACTTTAAAGTTCAAAATTGTGTCTCTTGTATTCAGGACTTTTGTTTTCCGACTTTACCTAAATAAATATGATGTTATTTTACAAAAGCTTATTTTTGGTATTTCAGGGAGCGTTAAAGGCTTTCAAAGAGATTTGTTCTCTCAGCACTGAGGGTACATTACTCTAAATAAGCTGAAATCAGACTTGCTCTATAATGGGTACAACATGTGCAGACAAGTATGAAGAGTAACAAACGTCAAAGAGCTTTTCTGTTTTCCATCTATGTATCTGAACTATTCAAATCTATTTTCTGGTCGTTCCAAAGTTATATTAATGTACTAATCCCAAAAAACAGTTATACAACAAAAAAAAAAAAAGCATTTTCTGGGTCTCAGCATATTACACAACATCATCTGTATGTGGTGTGGGAGAGACTGCACGACCAGGCAGCAGGAGCCCACTCATCCAGGTGGGCCACCTTAGATTAGGTCTGTGTGTGGGCTTCACTACCAGCTGGCACCTATCGGTCTACTGATGGGATGAAAACATCAACCCAACAGTAAGAGCAGTTTCACTTTAAAATGAAAACTTAGTGAAGTAAACGCTGGGCCTCCCAGCTGACAGATCTGTTACTTGGAATTGATGTCACTTGGGTCAAAAGCTGAGTTGTCACTTTCAAACAAAGTTTCAGCACCTCCTGGGAGTTTGTCATTGGCAGTGAATTTACTCAAGCATTACAGTGTTGAGGTCCTTAAGGAACTGATACATGTACCTGTCCTGTACCTGAAGTGCACTGTACTTTGTATGTCATTATACCTCCCTGGCAGATTAAGAGTTTACATTTAAATAACATTTAATTTTGTTTGATTACACTAATGGTTCTCAGCATTTTTGACTTGTGACCCCTTGCAAAGCACATGTGAGTTGTTGTGACCCCTTGTCATGTATCACGTTTCAGATGTTTCAGATATTTCAGATGTTTCAGCTTTCCGAAGAGTTGTTAGCAGTTCTACCATAAGAGTGTTTTGCCCTCTAAACTCCTCAGATGGTTTCATTTTAAAATGGTTTAATGCTCGAAGGAGTAAAATTATGTAATGCTTTATAAACGAAAATATGAGAAAAGTCTGAAATAAAAATCCTAAGTTGTGTAAAGGACTTTCTTCCCTCATCTCATGCCTGCCCCCCCTTGTAACCGACTACATTACATAAATACATTGACATCTTTACTTAAGGATCTGAATATAACAGTGGTTTGTCAGTCCGATTCAGACCTGAAAAAGCATCAAATCTGACAAAAAGCTGTGCTCTGACACTTCTATTACACCATTTATCACAGACCACGCAGCTGCTGTTCAGTGTGATGATAAAAAGATTTGTTTCTGTTGTGGAAAAGAATAATGCTGAGCATATGATGACAGGGGCACTGCATTGCTGCGACAGGACCAGTTTGAAGCCAGCTAGGCCTTGAGCGAAAGGTCAGAGGAAACCTTGCCTCTTAACCCTTCACAGCATAAAGGAAACTTAAGATTTAAGTGAAATGGTTAAACCCAGGCAAAGTTTGTTGGAGATGATCTGGAAATTAAACGCACTATTGTCCTAAACCATGATGAGACATGACACTTCACAAAATCACCTAGCTTCACTCGAGTCTGACAAACAGTCCTTAATATTTAAGAAAATGATTTGTACAACAAATAAATAAATCTCAGAAATTACAAACAAAATCCCCTAAATGTGGAAATGGCTTTATCTGCAGTCTAGAAAAGCAATTCTGATGTCTCTTAATTTCATTTGATTCATGTTAAATGTCTTACGTAAATCAAGATTTATGACTCTGGTACATCGGCTCTCAGTGTGCATGTACATATCCCCAAGCAAGGGGCAAGTAAACAGTAAACAAACATAAGGCTAGTATAACAAAATAGGCAGTATTCACAGCAAAGAACAGTGCAAACAATGCAAAATAAGCAGTATAAACAGGCAGTAAACAATGCAGACAGACAAAGGAATACTCATTGTGAAATGAGATAAATAGGAATAAAAATAGAGTGCTTAAAAATGGAGACCTGTATGGATCTGTATAATCTGTACAATGTATATTTACAGATATTGCACTGAGGGTTATTGTCCAGTCATACTGTCGTGGGTCACGTGTTCATCAGAGTGAAAGCCCGGGGGAAGAAACTGTCCTTGTGCCTGGTTGTCTTGGCGTACAGTGACCTGTAACGCCGTCCAGAGGGGAGGAGTTCAAACAGATTATGCCCCGGGTGTGAGGGGTCTGCAGTGATCCTCTCCGCCCTCCTTTTGACCCGTGAGGTGTACAGGTCCTCCATGGACTCGCACCAATGACCTTTTCTGCAGCCCTGACTGTCCGCTGAAGTCTGTACTTGTCCTGCTTGGTTGCTGAGCCAAACCAGACAGTGATGGAGGTGCAGAGAACAGACTCGATGAAAGAGTCCCATAACACCTGAGTACTGTTCAAAAACAGAGACAGCAATGCTGCCCTGCACTGTAAACATTCAGGGATGTCTTGAGTTACAGCTAGGTGCTGACTGAGATCTGACAAATCTTGAGGTGCCTTTATGTAATCTACTTTTATTCAGTTTGGCTGGCTGACTTTTAAGTTCAATAATCTTTTTTGAACAAACGGTTTAGTGCTCACACTGCAGGGGATTTTTGTTATTGCATTGTTTTGTTTATTGATGCAATATGAACTCATACAGTCATGCCTACAATCACCTTTACAAAGACCTGACTCCAGGAAGAACAACTGGGAGTTTATTAACATCACTGTGGATAATTCTGAACATCCAAGTCATTAAAAACATTTCTTGTCAAATACATTAAAATGATAGAGAAAATTAAAGGTGCATTTTACACAATGTCTGACAAATAAAGTGAAAGTGTGATAGGGTGTGGTGTCTCTATACTAACCCCATCTATGATATTCTGCTGCTCACAGCCCGTCTCTTGTCATTCCAGCTTCTCTAGTCTGTGGTGTCATAATGTGGTGTGTAAATTCACCCCATCTGTACCTAACAAAGGTTGTAAGAAGCATTTTTTTGAATCGCAAGTAGTCATTTTGAACAGCAATCCACAAGGGACCTCTCATGAGTGGTGTGCAGAGAAAGCAGGATAAAGAAAAAGCACAAACCAGGGTTAACATCAGTCTGGCTTCTTGAGATGAAGTGTGTTAAAACACAGCCCAATGACTCAGATTTGTTTCTTCCTCCTGGATGTGTTAGCATCTAAAGGGGTTTTTACGTTATAAGAACCTACCAAAATGTGTCACAACCGAGTAACACTTGTCACGGGTTCCGCGTTTGTTTCCACTGCCCTCGGCCCCCTTTGGAGGTGCATTCTGGGAACTAAATTTCAGCACCTCTCAGGAGGTAGTACTAAAATCAAGTATCAGGAATGTGAGGTGCGAGGAGGTGCATGAGCGCAGACCAGTCACCGGTGATTGGTCAAATGTCTGTGCCTTTGTACCTCAAGCATTAGCATTACACAACTGATTGCATGTGTGAGAGCGGTGCAGCCCCTCCCTCTTCTAAACAGAGACCAACAGAGAGAAAATACAGCAGAAAAACAAAGCAGGACAGTTTGCGTCAACCCTGGAGGCTCTGTTTGGTGATGTTAAGGGTAGTACAGGATATACTGCGCATTCCGATAGTAGGCTTTGAGTAACATTAGCAGTAACCAGAACGTTCTACTGGACTGACAAACTTGTAATAGCTTTGAAGTGGAGGCCGCATCTTGTACAGTTTGTCACAACCAGACATCAGTAGTTTACATCGTCACTAGGAAACAAGATGAGATGGGAGGGGCAGTTTGTTTTGAGTCTCACTAGATCATCTAGCAGCGGAAGAGTGATTAGAGCAGCTTTAATGGAAGGGTGCATGTGAGAAGAAGGTGGAGGTGAACACAATATAGACAGTATGTCAATCTCACTAGGTGAGACGTTCATTAAAACACACTTCCTAATCTTTTTGGATCAACTTTTTGGTAGATTTGGGTATATTTCTTTATTTATTTCAAAGTTTAAGAATCAAGCTCTTTGAGATGAACCAGCAATTTTTTTCATGGATCTTTAGAATAATGAAAATAAATGTGACTTTTCTTCAGAGAAACAATTTTGGTCATTTTGATCCTGTCCAAAACCATTAGATGCTTTTATGAACCCATTTTTGCTATTAGTTTTTTCCCAGTGGAAATGCTGCTATTAAGCCTTCTGAATATGCAAGAGGTGGAAGCTGTCACTTTGCAGTTTACACCTTGTAAAGGACCTGTTAAAATGTATGATAATGAACCTTTTATTTAGTACATTGCAAGTCATTTAAGAATATGAAAAAGTGATTGTGAAGTAATTTTGTTTGCCTGAAAGAATGAAAATGGGGATTAATTATACAGAACCTCTAAAGACAGATTGTTTTAGTTGGATAAAAGGCATAATGCATGAAAAAAGTAACATCTTCCACACAATGCTGCTTTTATGGGCTTAATATTAAACAATGGAGTGTGAATATTCAGAAGAAACACACTAAACATGCCAAGTTTAACTGTTCAAATTCTAACAGCATCCCAAATCTTCATGATAACCTGGTTCCAAAGATAAATTGAAACTATAAACATCAGTGGGGAAAAGGACAATGACGTTAATGAGGCTAAAGAATGTGTTACTTTTCCAACAAGAATAAGGAAGGTGAAGGAAAAGTCCTGGCACTAAACCACTGTCAATCTCACTGGGTGATTAGAAGCCACTTTCACAGAGCTTTCCAGATTCCTCACAAAAAGGATTTTCTTGAAACACTAACTCACAAAGGTTGCAGTTCTTTCATGGGTTTTCAGAAGAATCGTTTGCTAGTATCTGTCCTCCTCCAGTGTTACATAATGAGCGGTCAAAAGGCTCTTAAACTGTTTAGGACACATCAGTTTTAGGAATGTGCATGTGTTTGAACTCAGCTCATTAAATCAGTCACTCCTCACGAACCGAGCTCACATCCAAAATGAGATTATTTTGCGGAACTCCTGCGTTTTACCAAAACAGGAATCTATTTCACGATAAATAGCTGTTATAGGAGAAGAGAAATGTGTGATTTTGTCATCTACCCTTAAATTTCATCAACTTTTAAGGCTTAACCTTTTAGGTTGTTTGCCTGAGCATGCAAAAATATTTTAGAGGACCACGCAAAGAACAAAGAAGAACTTCATTCCAGTTATTTACACTGGAACAAATATGGTTACGCATACATTGAATCAAAGCTTTTGTAATAGGCTATATTGTTGCTGTCAACCTCAAACAAAAAACTGAAAAGTGGCTGAGGCACAAAAGTCACTTATAAAAGTCAGTTCTAATTATCCGATTATAAGCACCCTCCGACAGTAAGGGGAAAAAAACTACACACCAAAGATGTGCTTCTTCAAAAACGCACCATTTTCTCATTCTGCAAAGTTGATGGAGTCGCGGCTCTTCGTGCAATGATACGTCATTTGCGCTTCATATGCTGGGGTATAGGTATGTCTGGTCAGTGTATGGCAGAGCTGTGTGTGGTGGAGAGGAGCCAGCAGATGACTGCCGCCCCCCTCACTTCTCCACTGAGCCCTCATGAGAGTGGAGGGAGACTGACTGCATGGGGACTATACGGCTGCAGAGTGGACGGCTTGCACTGATAAAACATCTCGGCACTGATTTGGGAACGGGACTGCAAATACGCAGTTAAACCATGCAGACCTGGCTCGTTTAGACACTTATGTTTTTAACAAAGCTCTTTTGTGAGTTGCAGTTACAAGTGATCCGAAACCTGCTATGGAGGACCTCTTGAATCAAAATGAGTCTGAGCACTGACAATGTCACAAACTTGTGGAAAAATGGTTCCTCGGAACTTGACTGGACTACGGGCACATCCTTCCAGTTCAACTTCACCAACAGCTCCAAAGGAAACCACACGGAGGTGGACCTCTTCCGAGCCATCCCGCTTGGCTTGGTGCTCGGGGCTTTCATCGTGTTCGCCATCGCAGGGAACATTCTTGTCATCCTCTCGGTGGTGTGCAACAGGCACCTGCGGACCCCCACGAACTACTTTATAATCAACCTGGCAATCGCCGACCTGCTGCTGGGCACCACTGTGCTCCCGGTGTCCGCCACTCTGGAGATCCTAGACTACTGGGTGTTCGGCAGGATCTTCTGTGACATCTGGGCGGCAGTGGATGTGCTGTGCTGCACCGCGTCCATCATGAGCCTGTGCGTAATATCCATAGACCGCTACATCGGAGTAAGTCACCCCTTGCAGTACCCGGGCATCGTGACCGAGAAGCGAGCTCTGCTGGCAATGCTCGGGGTATGGGTGCTGTCGGTGGTCATCTCCATCGGACCTCTGCTCGGGTGGAAGCAGCCCCCGTTACCGGACGACACAGTGTGCACCATAACCGTGGAGCCGTTTTACGCGCTCTTCTCCTCCCTCGGCTCCTTCTATATCCCTCTTGTCGTGATTCTGGCCATGTACTGTCGTGTGTACATAGTCGCTAAGCGGACCACTAAGAACCTGGAGGCAGGTGTGATGCGCGAAAGGATGAACTCCAGCGAGCTGACCCTCAGGATCCACAAGGGATCTCACGTGCAGGAGGAACACGGCAGTTCGTCCACCGGCAAGGGCCGCGCACATCATGCCAGAAGTTCCCTCACAGTGAAACTTCTGAAGTTTTCCAGGGAGAAGAAAGCAGCTAAAACTCTGGGAGTCGTGGTCGGCATGTTTACGCTTTGCTGGCTGCCCTTCTTTCTGGCCTTACCCATAGGTAGGTTCAACTGATCAGCTTTGTCCTGTTATACTGTCAAAAAACTAAATTTATGTCAGGATATTTATAATATATCCCATACCTTGTTTTATCACAACCCACAACAACTTTAAAAAAAAAAGTCTTTATAGTCGCCATTCAGTTAGTTAATGAGTCTGGCACAAATTATATACAGTCACTTAAATGTCAGTTGAAAGTTACAGTGAGGCTGCTCAAGGCTTTGTAAATTATACCTGTATCTGGCACAGGAGTGTCTCCTGGGTGGAATTTATTGCTTTGAACTGTCACCAAACCTGGGAGTAGACCTTGGTATACTGGAGTGGAGTTTTATATGGCATGATTAAAAAGATGACAGCCTATATTACTGCAGCATTCAGTATTTTAGCAGAGCTATATTATTTCCCTTCACGGTCTCTGTATATGTAATTAATTTAGTTTGCATCACATTTTATGATATAGACTTTATATTATGATGATTTGTAGGATTTTCCTGCTCAGCACAGTTTATTCTATCAAACCAAAAAGAAACATGCTTTTAAGAGTATGAGGAGGAATGCTCTCGAGTTTATCCAAACATTATTAGTGTTATCTTTGCACTATCCTGAGTCACAGTTCATTCCTACTGATGCACCAAATACACTCCTTGTGTGTGCCTAGTGAAGAATAGGTGGCCTTTCTCTGCTCACTTTATCCAGAGGCCTGTGGAGCCTGCCAGGGCTCCCTGATACCACAGAGGCTGGAAAGCATTCAACGCCTCACTCTTTAAGAAACTGCAGAAAAAAGTAAACAAAGTGTTGTGTTGCATTGTGTTGTGTAATGCTCAGACCGTGGGCTGTGCTGTGGTGAGGAGGTTAAGAAAACATTAAGTCTTTATTTAGTGATGCCGTTTGGACAAAAAGCTCGCTGAAGCATGAGTATAGCTGTAGCACTTTACGTGACCGTTTGCCTGACTCCTGGCACTGTCCGTCATGGTTGGACATGTATGTGAGCTTGGGTTTGTGTATCAGTGCCTGTGTGTGTGCATACATCTACTGTAGTTGGAAGGAAATGTGTTGACTCCCCTGACTTTAAGCTGTAGCTAACATCCTCATGCATGCACGCACATTAGTACCTGGGACAGGTTCACTGTGTGTGAGGATTACTTGGCCTCGAGGCATTTTCAGTGAGATACCCAAAGCACCCAACAAATGTAATTTTCCAAAGTTCAGATTCACAGCTCTGAGAGGCCTCGGCAAGCATAGTTGAGGAGGAGCCTCTTTATGTAACACTAATCAACAAACTGCCAAGAATCCCCCCAAAGGATACGTCTCAGTGTGCACTCTCTGGCGTAGCACAATGATACATAGTGACCAAGTACCATATAGCCTTATTTCATGCTCATTTTAAACTAACCTCAAAGGGATAAAAGCACACACACACAAGTCCAAAAGTTTTCTGGTGGGAAATTTCACATTATGCAGCTACTACATGTCCACACTATCAAAGCAGGACACTGAAACTGCTCTCTTTCCCAAAGCTAGCACCTTCGTTATTCAATTCACGTTGGCTCCTCTGCTCTCTGGTGTGATTTATTTTGGACCTTGGGTACTAGAAGTTTGACAAAGCAGCAGCGCCCAGCTTGTGTTACACCCGGGGCATTCATTAACCTCCACACACAGAGTGGGATTTCCTGTCTCACACATGTTATTACCCTGCTTCTTCCTCCACATTCAGTCACTCTCATGTAATGTATGGGGGGGGTTTCTGGTTGGTGGTGTGCGTGTGGTGGTGATGGATGGCACGTGTGTTTACGTTTGTGTGCATGGAGGGGCGATATAGTATTTATGTACAAGTCTGCAAGTGTGTTCATGGTTGTTTTGAGTGCTTGTGTCAGCTGCTTCTCACTCCTCTGTCACCACTGTTTTTTTAAATAACCTAAACATGGAACTTTAAGCAAGAGCCACTGTGGCCTCTGACCCCAAAGTCTCCAACTAAGACCATATCCATCTTAAGCTTAATTTTGATTTATCCACAACTGCGCATAGGCAACAGCGAAGAGGTCTATTGGTAAATGTAAGTGGCTTATGGCTGCAGAACGTCCAGCGAGCACACCTCCTAAATCTCAGTACGCATTGTGCTGAGCTGCACATCCTGCACTCCGACTGGTTGATTCTGACTATGACCAAGACATAGGTGCCTGCTAAATTGGTCCACCAGTGGGTACTCACATCTCTTGGCTAGACTGACCACCTACTCTCAATCTAAGCGGTTACTTTCTCACCTGAAAAAATATCAACACTTAATAAAGTGGCCTAATACAAGCCCTAGGATGACAATTATAACAGCTTTGAGCCCCAACCCTTTACCATTTCAATATCCTGATTTCTTCTTCTTCACTTTTGAGCGCCCCCTAGTCAGAACATTAACATTCGCACAACAGCTATGCAACTGTCTCTGAAAGACAGACGGCCGTTCCCATACATGCAGTGACACATAAGTCTAATTCTGGCTTTATATATGAACTCTGTCCTTCCCAATCAGTCTCAACTATTGAATTCAAATTCTTCAAATACTTTGTATTTGTACATAAATGGCAAGCATGAAGCCACCAGTCCCACAGTTTGAGCCATTCCTTTTCAGATTTTGAACTATCCTGTCCTTTTACGCCTTTAACTTGGAGCAAAGCAAGGTACACAGTCTGGGACTATCAACACAACATCAGTGTTTTTAATCAATGTTACTTCAAGCAGGGTTCCTTAGACAAAAAGCAGCCCAACATTTCACCAACATTTCACACACACACATACACACACAGAGGACTAATTTCACATGTTTGTCAGTAAGGGTGGCATATCTAAATATCTCAAGTTATTTCAGAACACATTCTTGTATCATATTATGAAAAAATGACACAGTGACAACTTAATTCCACAGTAACAATCAGATTAGTTCAGAAATTGACCAAAAAAGGCTTCATACTGTAAGAAGCTAATCCTTCGAGCCAATTAAAGCAGCCAAATGCCATGTTTTTGAAGAAGCAGTCTTTTTCTTTGATAGATTTTTCCATTGGCACTCTTATCAAAATCGCATCTGTCCCACAAGCAGGGCTCCACACTGGAGACTTTGCCTTTTATACCAATATCCCTGCAAATATTTCTTGGCGAATCTAGGCCACTGAACACAGCATTGTTTTTGTCTGTGGTGAAATTTGTTGAGTTACAGTTTTTCTCAACTGCTTTCGTACATTTCTCGAATCACAAATTTTCTAAACTACTTGTTCAAACTCCACATCATCTAGTAACTTGTGCATCTCATTTAAACAAGTTCTCGTAGCTTTTAACACATTGCAAATTCTTTGGCACATTCATGCAAATGATTATGTACAATTATGTCTGTTGCTTTCTACATTATCACTTATTACTTATGTCGTTTTGATCAAAATGTATTATATGGCTGTTGCATTTTATGTTGAATAGTCTGACCTCCCAACACAGCTAATCATAAGTTCATTTAAGATGTCATTACATTAGGTGAACAAGCTGTTTTTAGTAACTGGTCAAGCAAATTTCTATATAGCTCCATTAGACTTTTTGCAACTTTGTCTGAATTGTTGAATGGCTCTCAGGTGAATCCTGACTTTCACTAATGAAGGGAAATGTGTGAAGTATGAGATCAACCAGTTCTGTGAAATAGCTCAGACCTGCATCTCATGAACCTTGAATTGGCAAGTATATATAGGCAGAGCAGAACATTGTGTTACATCCATCCATTACACACACTCACACGTCTCCAGTCAACCTAATCTGCTAGTCTTTGGGAAGAAGCCAGAGCACCCAGAGAGAACCCACACAGGCACAGGGAGAACATGCAAAGTCCAAAACAGAAAGGCCCCGGGTTGGTCGGGGCTCGAACCCGGAACATTTTTGCTGTGAGGCAACAGTGGTAACCACCATTCCACCCCATCAATGGAAGAACACGGAAATGAACAGCATCAAACGTCAGGAAGAAGAAGAGGAGTAGAACTCTGTGGTGGAAGGGCAGGGAGGCAAAACAGAGGAAGGGGGAGAAGAAGCCAGACGCATAGAGTAAACCCGTCTCCAGTGAAATAAGGGCCACACTTGTGAAACCTATTGTCAAACTGTAAAAGTGTAAATGTGAATACTGTCCAATGTACAGTCAGACTCCTACATACACTCACTGGCCTCTTTATTAGGTACACCTGTACAATTATATGCACTTCAATGCAGCACTTCCGCTTTAACATCTGTGTTTACGAATCTCAAAATGTTTCAGTTTTTGGTGAAATGGTCATAAATGTATCAGTTCAATTATATGTTTATTATTGAGGTCATAGTTAAAGGTGGTGTGGTACTGGACTACATTATATTCAGAGTTGCATCTATCATTTTATCTTGCCCAGCTACATCCATGAGAGTGTTGGAATATTAGGAACACCTTGAATTAACTACAACTTTACAGGTGTACCTAACAAAGTGGCTGGTGAGTGTACAGCAGTGTGAAACTTTGTTGAAATTGATGCATGCCATACAGAGAATGTGCAGCCTTCTGTATTTTCAATCGCTGTCATCAAAACCTGAGCCACAGTTGTCATATGAAAATACGTTACAAATACTTAACATTTTACTTTACACTGTTGTGTTGACAACATGGCAAAGCATTCTGACTGCCACATTCGTCATCCTGACAGCACTGACATATTCACTGACATAAGGATTTTGGGAGATAAACTAGGGATTTTGAGCAAGTGACACACTTTTGCAGCTAATCCATTGTGTGGTGCTGTTTGCGCAAATTGTTTCGAGAAATTATCTTATTGTTTTGCAAATACCAAGGATGTTTTGAGAAATGTACTAAAGCGACTCTCTTGATTTAATAATCTCATGATGAAGTTCTTTTATCCATAAGCAGTCTCTCATTAAATTTTCCAGAAAATGTACTATACCACAAATTTTTGATGCCACAATATAATGTTACATATACCATTATAGATATTATTTACTCCTATTAAGTCATTAAACATTTACAGCTTATTTAAAATTGTTGCCCAGATCAGATTTCCAATAATAATATACTGTATTATTGCTGACAGGCAATTATTTTAATATTCAGGATAATTATGCACAAGTCATATTATAATGTAACATGTTGTATTTGATGTTAAAGAGTAATCAAAAAAGGCAACTTATAAAATGTATTTCCTGTACAGTCTACAGGGCTGTAACTAAGTAATCATAATGATCTAATCGTGTGTTTTCTGGATTAAACAATCATTTGGTCTATAGAAAATAATACTGATTATAACCCATGGTTTTCTAAAATCCAAGGTAATCTCTATAGATTTTTTTTTTACCAATAATCCATAACTCAAAAATAATGAGTTGCAAATTCATAGACTTCAGAAGCTGGAACTAGTCAGTGTTGACATTGCTTGAGAAATAACTCACTGCCAACTATTTTACTGCCCATCAACTAATCGATCGACTATAATCTCTTTAGGTCTACATACAGACAAATAAAAGAAATACAAAAACATTAAATCACTGTCATAAACATGGATTTAGGCTCTGTTTTTATTGTAAAGCTTTAGGATACATTTAAGGAAAACATGGGGAACACTGAAGATTTATTAAAGGGACTCTTCAGCATTTAGATTTTTCAAAGAGCCATATTCTCTTATTCTCATCTCGTAACTCAGCCGAAGAGAAACCAGTCCTCTGGGGGATACATCTGTTATTTCACTGCGCACATTTTCCCGCTCTAACACCCAGGGCAGGCACTAATGTCCTGTGAATGGCTCACATTGAGCAACTGGTACAAGCAGTGTACCCAAATGTGAGAGAAACCAACACTTTGAGGTGTTAACAAATAGTTTCTATGTATGTGCCTTTTTGGAAGAGACACTGTGTGTGTACCTCATGCATGTGTGTACGTGGGCGCTTTTGGGTTTTTGTATTACATGGAGCTGGTCAGCTCTGTGCTCCAGGGGTAATTGAAATAATTTATGAAAGGGAAAAATAATGAGAATGCTAAGTACCAAGGCTATGGAGAAGAGAGGAGGTGGCAGAAGTGAGCTGGAGGGACCACAGGGCAATGTGGGGAGGTCAAGGGCCCCCCTGAGGTGTCAACCCAATTTTCCAAAAATAGCTTCATGCTATTGTTTCATTGAAAGCAATCGGCGAGTGCAATAACACTGTCCTTTCAGATCCAGACGTATTAATCATATTTATAGGTGAGTTATGAAACAGGATGTGTGAGTTTTTGGAGAGCAGATTGTGTGTGTATGTGTGTGTGTGTGTGTGTGTGTGTGGGTGGGTGTGCTCTATACGGCGCAGAATAGGTATCGCTTCTTCCAATTAGTGAGAATAACAGGATGCGTTGTTTTGTTAAGATGTTCCTGTGTTTCATAGTGTGATGTGTGTGCGTGTGCCTGTCCTCAGGAAGGAGGTGTAAACACTTCGCATAGCAGACGGGACGAGACTACGGACAATATCCCTCTCATAGTTATCTATATGCCATTGTCCTGCAGCCAAACACTTCTGCCATTTATGATAAACTTTTAACATAAACACTCTTCAAAATGGGACAAAAATGGACCATGTTCACACAGAACTTAAACACACAAACATGCACCATTTGTGGCTACAGGAAGATCTGTTGTCACTCAGGTTTCCTACACTTTTATCCTGTGCTTGTGTATAAAGGAGCCACAGGAACGTGCTAGCTATATCCCACCTTTTGGTCTCTGTGGGGCCCTCTAAATATTTAGGGGTCCTTCCTGGGAGGCAGGCAAAGCCGCACAGCTGCCCTTGCAGATGCCACGGTTACAGCACATGCGCAATGTCTATAAAGCTTCATATTATAACATACAGTACGTTTTAACTTGAGTCCTTCAACTCCTGAATAATCCAAGCAATTTCAGTGTGAGAGCCAGTAGGTTCAATAAACTGCTCAATTAATCACTGAGCAAAAATACCAAAAACTCTATAGGGTTTTTTGTGCTTTTCTCTGTTTTATATCCCTGTAAATACAGTAACTTTGGGGAATATTGGACAAAACACAAGTGTCACCTTGATGTGGGGCAAATTTTGATGGGCATTTTTCTCTATTTATAAAAGTTTATTTGATAACATAATCACCAGCGAAATTAATATTAAAAACAAATGCCAGTTGCAGCCTTAGCACAAAACACAGGAATATTTATCGGTGCTTTAAAACATACAGAGGAAAAATGTGTTTGGATATTTTGGGATCTTGGTGTCTAAGCATCACACAGCTTTCTGGCACTGGAAAAAAAACGATCAATCCATAAGGGAAAAAACTTATTCAACTAATTAGCTCAGTACTCTTTATAATTTTTCATATAAAAACAAAACATTTGTTGGTTAGGTTAGCTAGTTTTTTAATGTCGTTTGTCTTATGTTTTTGATCAGAATAAGATAAAAGTTTATCTTTAAAAACGATTAAAGGGAATGTAATAAGTAAAATTAAAATGAAGTAAAATGAATGACTGACCAAGTTTAATCACTGTATCCAGTCCCAGTCATAACTCATGCAGTTATGTAATCACCTTTAAGTGGATGTCCAGTAGCGAAAATAGCATGTGAAAATACCAGCCACCAAGAGAGACCCATTCATCTGCGGCACAGGAGGCCATGTCACAGTCAGCATTTTTAATGGTTTCGAATTAAAACATGGCCACACAAACACAGACAGACATTTCCACACATATACAAAGAACTTTTATTGCTGTCATTGAGGAGCCACTGACACGAAAACTGGAAGTGACATTTCCTCATACTGTTGCACAATCACTTTAACCAACCAGATTAACAAACTGACCTGAGTATCGTGTGTTTTCTCTGGATCTTGACTCGAAATAGTGCAGGACAGTTTAGATTATTTTCCCCTCTTACAGCAGACGTAACGTCCCCTCCAGGGAGTTGTTATTTGCAGCCAATAAAACCCCCAGGCTATGTATTATATAATGTAGCTTGTATTACTCAGAATAACTGTTAAAGCTGTTGAGCTGATATTCATGAAGACGCATGCTCAGGTGTCTGCCAATATCTTACAGAGGTAATTTCACACTTGAAAGCCTGAGATTATAGCGCAACTTCCGTCTCCCCAGGAACCTGTTATTAATTTAAGAATGTGGATTGGTGTAAAGATGCACAGTTTTGCTCACATCTGCCTACACACACACACATATACGCAAAGTCTATTCCTTTCACACTAATCTCACACTTTCTGAGCTTATTAACTCCCAGTTTTTATCCTGAGGGGGGCCATCTCACCTCATTAGCTTGTGAGGTGTTCCTCCTCTGTTTAAGATATAGTAGGACAAAAAGCCCCACAAGGGTAGACTAATGCGATTTAACAAAGGGCAAACTCACTGATTAATAAACATGACAGACACGCTTCAGTTCAGTCTTACTGACAGCATATCCCCCTCCTCACACATATAACATGGCACACACAACTTCAGCTGTTTACCTGTGTAAATATTTGCACCAGTAACGCCGGTAGACACCCTCTGCAGGTGCAAAAGAGGGAAGCCTGTTGTGATCTGGGGGTGCACTGCCATTTCATTTCCATAAAAATGTTTGCCTTTTTCTCAGAACATCTCTCCAGCAGCGTGTTTATCTACAAGGGAATTGGGGTCATCCCATTCTCTGCATTCTGACGGAACAGCTTAAAATGAACTGTGGCAAAGCAGCTACTTTAGTTATTAAAAAAAGAAGCCCCTGATGAAGGGCTTTCCTTAGTGATAAATAACTCATGGAAATAACTACCCTCTCCGATCTCCTCATTTGTTGCTTTACACTGGCTGCACACAATCTGAATGTAAAAGCCCCATTTTATTCTTAACCAACACTGCCACCTACTGGATACAATACAACTTAGTCACAGAGGATGAACAGCAAATTCTAAGACAAGTGAGCGTATCATCTGCAGGGATGCACTGATCCAAAGACTGCCCTGACTTAGCAGATCAGGTAGTGACCATGATGTAACTGAAAAATGTTTTATCAGTATATTTATGCATCATTTATACACATTTCCCCAAAATTCTACCCAACATATTTAATATCATTGGTAACTCCACTAGAAAAGTTATGTAATGAAAAGTGTAATGACTGGCCCACCAGGAGGTTAAAGAGAATGTTAGGCATTTTGGGAAGTATGCTGTTACATGTAATTATTACATGTAACAGTATTATATTTGGTGTTTGTCCGATAAATATGGTGACAGAGACAGGACGGCTCAGCTTTGGGCAAAGGCAGGAAACAGGGGCGAGTGGAGTTAGAAGACTCTGCTGGTCACCTGGCAAAACCAAATAACATGAATAACATGTAGCCAACCACCCCCCGCCCCAAGCATATGTCCCAGAATGTTGAAGACTTGCTTTAAGGGATTAATTTCAGGGTTGCAATATTTTGATCTTCCCTCTCTATTCTGTTGTCCTCAGGATCTTTTGATGAAGACCTGCGCCCACCTAAGTCCCTCTTCAAAGTGATCTTCTGGCTAGGCTACTTCAACAGTTGCCTGAACCCCATCATCTACCCCTGCTACAACCGCGAGTTCAAGCTAGCCTTCATTCGCATCCTCCGATGCCAGTGTCACCAGCGTAAACATCCCGGCTGGAGAGCACCGCGAGTTCAAGCTAGCCTTCATTCGCATCCTCCGATGCCAGTGTCACCAGCGTAAACATCCCGGCTGGAGAGCATACAATTACCGCTCATCCAACTTCAGCTCATCTGGAAACTCACGCAAAGGCTCTACAGATCATAACTCCAGCTTTCTGAATGGGAGCCAGCGTACCCTGCCGTCCTCAGGCAGTCCAAGCCCCAGCTACCTGCCTTCTTGCCCTGAGGGGGAAACATTATACATCTGGGGAGCCAGCACCCCAAGTCCCACCACACCCAACCTGCTGCCTGGCAGCCCCACCGACTGCCAGCAGGGAGCTCTAAAAGGGGATGTAAGAGAAGGCAAAGCAGCTGCAGAGACTACTGGTGGTGTTTTCTCTTTCTCCTTTGGGAAGAACAGAGACAAGGGAGGGGTCAACAAGGATGGCATCGTGCCAGAGGACAAGATGTGAGCTTGGACTTGTTCCTTCTTTATAGGGATTAAGGGCCACCCACAGACAGTGGTTGTGGAATTTCACAGGTCTGCTGCATTCACTGTACATGGTTCCATGATCATTCATCAGTCAGTGGATTAACATTGTCAATAATTGTCAAAGTGCGGTGACAATAGCTGAGTTACAATTATGCTGCTGTATCAGGTATTTTGATCTATGTTACTGTACCTGTGCTTGACATAGACAGGAAGGTTTGTTTCAAAAGGACAATAAGGGGTTGAAGACAGTTAATCAAAATCACTGTTTGCTACCCTCTTTGGGACTGGAAAGTTATCAGTGCATGCATTTTGATAAAACAAAAGTGAAATTTAAAGGAATAAGGTCGCTATGTCAGAGAACTCTACCCCAAACATCAACCTCTTCACCCCTTTTAGCTAAAACTCCTTGTTTGCCCTGTAAAATGCCTGAGCACGACAAGGAACCTGACTCATGTAAAATGTGTAACAAATGATCACCTTTTTGTTGCAGTCACTTGCTATCTTTATGGTATGTTGTGAAAACAAAGTATAACCTGGTTTATCTGCTGTGCGCACAATCATCAAATAGCATCATGTTTGTATGTTTGATGTTCAAAACCTATGAATATTAATATTAGAAATGTGACTGATACATGAATAAACTTAGATGGTTGCTCAAATGCTGCTCCGAGGCAAACTCTTGATCTCTCTGCAACTCTACTTTCTTGTTGCAAAAAGAACGTACACCATCATATATATATACACATATACACACACACAGTATATATCACAGACTTGCCTCACAGCAAGAAGGCTCCGGGTTTGAGCCTGGGCCGACCCGGGGCCTTTCTGTGTGGAGGTCACATGTTCTCCTTATGCTGGCGTGGGTTCTCTCCGGGTACTCTGGCTTCCTCCCACAGGCCAAAGACATGCAGTTTAGGTTGACTGGTGACTCTAAATTGCCTGTAGGAGTGAGTGTGAGTGTGTGTAGTTTGTCTACATGTCAGCCCTGTGATAGACTGGTGACCTGTACAGGGTGTACCCCCGCCTCTAACCCAGTGTCAGCTGGGATTGGCTCCAGCCCCCCAGCAACTGTATTCAGGAATAAGTGGTATAGATAAAGGAAGGATAGATGATGATGTGACCCTCGATCACACATCAACCATAAGGAAGTGTATTCAGAAGGTATTTTAGATCAATCTATACAACACCCCAATATGACAAAGTGGAAACAGACCTTTGCAAACTTCTTAAAAAGGGAAAATTGAAATATCACATTGACATGTGTGTAGACCCTTTACTCATTAGTTGAAGCACCTTTGGTTGCGATCCAGTCTCAAGCTTTTTTGGGTATGACACAATAACCTTGGCACAACTGAAAGGCAGAGGTCAAGATATCCCAACTTTTAGACCATAGTATTAACCTCCCAAACACTTGGTTTCCCATGATTTGATAGCATCTTTCATAAAACATGACCATCCTGGTAGTCATCAATGTTTCAGACTTCATACCCCCAAGTTTGTCTGGCAGGTTTTCTATTATACATTTATAGTCTCAGGCCCAAGGCAAGGTGACCCCGATGATAATCCCAGGATGACATTTTTCAACTTTAGAAAGCTCCCTTCAGAATTAAGAATATTAAACAACCACTGAGTAGTAGCTACTCCTTTTGAGGATGAAACTGAGGATTAACATGAATTAAAAATCAAAATTTAGAATCAGTGGACTGTCTTTCATATTCTACTTAATCTGTACATCTACACTGCAACTGGACAAGATGGCTAACTAGGAGGATGACGTGTACTTCGCCTGCTAAGCTCTGATGGGCAGTTTCTTTCCTGACAGAAGGAAACAGCCATCAATGGGACAAAGCCAGTCATTTCTGTAGATTATAAGGCAATGTTTTAAAACATTTCAGTACTGCAAAGTTTTAAAGCTAAAAACAGATGGAAGGTTTAATCACTAAATGTTATTTTGAATAAAGGAAATATGGCTCAGTATCTTTGGTGTTAAAAAACATACATCTTGTCATGGAAACTGTTCCTGTACATGAACTTCACTAGTGAGAAGGAAACAAGTTGTACAGTTAATAAATTATTGGTTCCTCAAATTTCCCTCTGACAAGACAAACGCATATTCTTTTCCTTTTTTTATGTAGCACTGTTTTGTTTTGGCCACTGCTGCTGTTATTGTCAGGTATTAAGCCAAATATGCAACATTAGGGCAGAAGCATACTCCTCTTTGTGAAATCATACAGTACTTTGACTTAAGAGGCAATGTTCTCAGGAGGTGCACACGGACCCAGAGTTCGCACTAGACTGTGTTATGTGAACAAGCATCCATGCAGGTGAGATTAAGGTAAACCTGGCAAAAATAATCTGTGCTTATCAATGAAGACCCATTGAAATACATTTCACTAAGTAGTCTCCATCTGTGAGCCTGTTGACACATGTTGAGCACTAAGCCTCCAATTACCTCATTTGTCAACTTTCAGACAAAGTTAGAAATATAAGTGACTGAACTGAGGAGTTTGCTTCTTTACTGTTAACCTGTGCAATGTTCTTTAAGAATACTATAACAGACTATAAATGTTTCTCATAGCGATGCAATAAAAGATTGAAAATGTTATCAAGCACAAGCATAAAAAGTCCATAAAACTACAGCTATAGAAATTTAAAAGCTACTGCAAAAGAACCAATTCAAGTAAATATTACAAACCAAATTAAACACACCTTGAGCACATTTCCAGTACATACACATTCACCGCAACACCAGCTATCATGAACATTGTCGGCTGACACAGACAACAACGGCCTGATGCAGCTGGAAACCAAACTGATGCAAGACGAGCCATGAAACACAAACACTGAGCTGAAACACAAGACTATTTACACAGAGCCGAGAAAAATTACTGAATATAGGAGATACTCATCACTACAATTGAACCTTTTCGCACTGCATGGTCATTTTGTCCATCGTTATTGAAAAGTGCAGCTTTAATTAAATACTTGAAGTTAAGTATTCACAAGAAAAGCACTATTATGCATTAGTTGACTAGTGTGAAGAATTCAGGGAAACAAACTGAACATGCTGACACAGATTGCATAGCAAACATTCAGTATGTTGATAAGGTGCTTGCAGTTCAAGCGGCTTCAAGTTTGTTTCTTTGTGCTCTGCACTTCAAACATGGGATGTCAAACAAAAAGACAATGTCCCTCCAGCGCAGTCATTTTAGCTCAGGCACTGAGAATATTGTGGACATTATAGTGTCAAAGAACAGTGTTACTTTGTTAGATTACCCAGGTAGGAAAAAAATTCTTCCTTCCTCTAACATTGACCGTATTTGCTTGTGGGCCACACAGCAGCCCCACCTCAGCGGGCAGTGCTGGGTCTCTGCTTTAAAAGTGAAAAATTTGTTTCCTCAAGGCTTCATATCCCTTCTTCATGTCAGTGAAACAGTGTGGCCTCCTTGGACAAACATAAGCCTCACTGCGGTAAGCTCTTTCTCTAGAAGAAGGAGGAAAGGGGAAAAAAGGTGACTCATTGTGGCCTCTGGAGGTGATTTTTGTTGGACAGACATTAAAATATCAGTATGGCCCATGTGATTTTCCAACAGGTACAACTATGCAACTATACAACAAGAATGTGTCTAACATCTTTATAGTCTCCTCCACTGCATTTGGGTGAAACCTCACCCAGATATCTCAAAACCTCAGGCGATCAAACAGACCATTTGTATCCACTTTTAAAACCAGACTTTTCCATTATCGAATTCATAAACACAGCCAAGTCAGATTTTATTTAGGCTACAAAGTCCAATATCACAAGTTTGCCTCAAGGGGCTATACAAGGTGTACACCATACAACACCCTTTGTTATTAGACTCAAACCAGATAATGGAAAAACTCCAAAAATAAAAAACTTCAGTGGGAAGAAAAAAATGGAAGCCTCAGGAAGAGCAACAGAGGAAGGATTTCTCTTAAAGGACAGAAAGAAGCTTTATTTTATTGTCATTGTAACATTGTGACATGTACAGTGAAATTTTGTTTTGGAGCCGAAAGCCCCGGGCCTGTGCCACCATCGCAGGTAACTTGGGGGTTCAGCGTCTTGCCCAAGGACACTTCGACATGTGGACTGCAGGCACCGAGCTTCGAACCCTCGTTTTTCCAGTTGGGAGACAACTGCTCTACCCAGTGCACCACTGTCACCCCCCCCCCCCTCTTCAAAGCTTAGGGACCATATCAATGCAACTTATCCACAGACACTTTGTTTGGAAATCCAGGTGTTTCATGTTAGTAGTTTCCTCTAGTAGGAATAGAAGTAGGCTACATAAGATTAGACCCAGAAATTACTTTTTAACTTGATCAATTGCATCTCAAACTGGTGAAATGCACCTTCTTTAGAATTTGTGGTAAATAGATTAAGACTGGTGAAAGAAGTCCTAGTTTTGTTTTTTTGCTGTTGGAAAGAAATTTAAAAGGTCATCTTCCTTGCAAATTATGGTGCTTTCCACAGAGCCACTTAAAAGCTCATCATCTTTTCAGGGAAAAAAAACAAACTCAAGAATTTGTCAGAGGAACATTCCTTCCTCTACAGGTTTAGCATAAGTAACTCGAGTCTCTGAGGATGGTGTTAGGGAGCACGAACACAGGCAAGTCCCACTTTGAAAATGAGACTAATGCTAATGTTATATTACCGTATTGTATTATAGATCAGCAACGGGTTGTTTCACTATGTTGTGTTTCTTTAAATAATTTTTAAAAAGTCAACAACTGAATAATTATTGTTAAAATATTAGAGTTCGGTTTGATCATTACAAAATGTTAGGCCTACTCGTGTTTATGGTACAATAAAAAATATGAACTGACTCACATTCATTCATGTGTCAACCCCAGGCAATGGAATTAACCCATGCACGGCCTTTTCATGCCCAGCACTTCTTTAAGTCACTCTGCTTCCGGTCCACCAGCATATCTACTAAATATATTCTACGGGTTCCTTTGGGAGGCCATTTCTCACAGACCACCCCAGGCTATACTAGTGCCTGTCAAGAGCACAGCACAGTCTATAGTCAAGAGTCGGTTTTCCACCAGCCTGCGAAGCCCACATAGATGGATATGAGAAGAGCTGCCTGCAGGAAGACAAGCATGGTGCCTCAGAAATACAATGATCATTCCAGTAATGCCAAACTAGCAAAGTAGAACACAGAGGTTGGAGGCTACTTCACTCTATGGTTTGAGGTTTCCTGTTTGTTCTGTTACACAGTGATTGAATTGGAATAACAAAGGGCCACCACTTCAAACCACATTTTAAAAATAAACTCCTGGCACACATTTTGATAACAGTACATTTTACAATCACTGACAAGACTGACATATAACCTCCCGCTCAGCTCCAGCCTAGCATATGCTGGAAACCGGAGGAAACAGATTGACCGACTTCATCTAAAGATCACTAATTTACACATTTATTGACTGCATATAAAAACCTCAAAGTTTAAAAATAATACTATGAGGGATTATCTATAGTTAGTGTTGATATTATCTGTGTAAACTTGTGTCAAGTATAGTGTTCTTTGTCTGGCCAGACAGCACTGTGAGAGACAGACTGTTGATTCCACTACTAGTTTCAAAAAGTGAATAAATGGGTTTCTGCAGAATCAAGGTCTGGATGTGATTAATAATGATGGCAGAAACAAGGCTTTCCGAATCGTTGAACCAATTGCTTCAGAAAATGGTTGGTTGTCTTGAAACATTTGAATCACCCACACTGGCGACATCTGCTGTGACTGGGGCTATGCTGTAGATCAGGGAGCATTTTTTTTTTTTTTTTTTTTTTGCCCTGCTGAAGGACCATCACTTAAATCCTCTGGGAGCTTAGAACAGAGGTGTCTTAACACTGATGATGGTGTTGTTATGAAATGCCAGATGCTGGCTACAAATGTTGCATTTGACTAAAGCTGAAAATGCTCCCACACAAGCGACCATGTTCCTTTTCTTGCTCTCTCCATCATCCAAATCAAGCTCTCCAAATATCAAACTGTCTCTCTTCTACACAAAATTCCACATCTGACCACTTTCAAGGACTTTTTTTGTGTTAATGGGACGTGACACACCTGATGATCTACAAGTAACAGGTATCACTGAGGATCAGTCAGTTATTCAGGTACTGTAACTGTCAACTAAATCAACTGACTGAAGATCAGCCGTTGTATGTTCCCTCGGCCCCTAGCAGCGAACCGCCAAAATATGAAACGTTTCATGAACCAGTGTGAAACAATCACATGACTTGGCCACTTTGATACATGCCCCGAAGCAGTGCTTTGAAACAGAAGTGTTTGCCAGTGGGTCAAAGTGTGTCCACACTGTGTTTTAAGTCCACCCATCACTAATGATTAAGAATTCTAGGCTGCAGAGTAAATGATACTTGAATAAGAGCACAGTATGTTCACAAACATGTTCCCTCATTCCAGCTAAAAGGAGTGTGAAACATCTGAGATGTTTTATTTTATTTTCATATAACTTTCTAGGCAACTCCATTAGTTTTCCTTTCACTTGCACATTTCATTTCACATCAAATGATGAGGTGCCCAGTGCAGCGTAAAGTGAAGTACCTTCCAGTCAAAGAAAGAAAGTAATTACATGCCCACATGACCTCTTTAAAGGATGTTGGTAACAAAGACATTCCGCTGTGAGCCTTTTGATACACTATACATGCTAAAACCTGCCGATCAAATCTATTACGCATCACAGAAGTGCTGGAAAAACCGGACAATGACAGGTGCAGGGAAATACTCTGGATTTTTGCCAAGTAAGAACTGCAGCATAAAATAATATGACAAAGTGTCTTGGAAAAACACGGCTGACGTTTTTCACACTTGCGTGGGGCTGACACATGATGAGGTATGTGTGAGTGGAAAGGAAGAGGCGGGTTTACAGGAATGCAGAAAAAACAAAAAAGAGAGTATCTGTAGAAGGCCACTCCACTGCTTTTTTTGCCTTACAAACTCCTCCTGCTACTTCTCTTTCACCATCATGGATTTCAGTGGGAAATATGAGCTGGACAGTCAAGAAAATTATGAGGAATTTCTGGAAGCACTTGGTATTAGGATAGTTTTTTTATTGATGCAAAAACACATCTGGATAAATGTAAATGACCATTCATTTAAACTTTGCTGAAATTCTTCCTTATTTGGGATTTGCTTTGTCACAGGGCTTCTCAGTGCCAAGACAGACCACAAAGTGGTAACAGAGGTGGTTCAAGATGGCAACAACTTCACCTGGACACAAACCATCCCCAACTGGTCCTGGTCCAATAAGTTCACTGTTGGCCAGGAATGTGAGCTGACGACAATGACGGGCTCCAAATTTAAGGTGAGTTCATAACAGACATCACATAAAATGATCACTTAACACTAAATCTAGACTTGCAACTTGTCATACTGTGTTCATATTTCCTCTGTGACCTATAGGCCACTGTCACTATGGAAGATGGCAAGATTTCAATACAATTCCCTCAGTACCACTTCACAGCAGAGATCACTGAAGATAAGCTAGTGATGGTAAAAGAAGTAACTACTTATTCACACAAACCAAAGCACTGCATCTATGACCCAATAATACTTATTGAAACAAATCTTAACAATATATCTTCAATAACCTAAGTATAAGTTAGTTTGTTATATTTCTATTCCAAATCACCTTTATCCTTTCTTCATCCTGTCATGCAGAATTGCAAAACTCCGGGAGAGAAGGGTGTGACATTCAACAGAGTAAGCAAACGGATTTAATGCTGCGAGACTCGACATGTTTCAATATAAAAGGAGGCTACAGGAGAACACATCACGAAAATGCCTGTTCCAGTAACTGAAGCAAGCTGAGGAAGTGGTCGTTTCTTAGTTCTGACTAAAAAGAAGCAGAGGAACGAGGCTACACTATGAAACAGTTGTGTAACCATGTTTATGTCTGATCCAGTAAAAAAATCACATAGTCTGTGTTGGGATTTTCTTTTCCTTGTTTGAACCTACTGAAATATTAATGGTCTCTATAGGTCTAAAAATGAGACAGGCATCTTTTCTGTGTAATATATACAAATATTCACAAGCCTGTTGCACTGAATGGACAGAGGGAGAGACCAGATGCATCAGTGACACATAAGCTTTTCAGTCCCGAGTGGAGCAAAGCACAAAAATACACAAATCTTTTAGCATAAAAGCACTAGTCTAGTCCAAGAAATGATTTAAATTTATAAAATTCACACTGCCAATCACAGATTAGACAGACATCACATCAGAGAAAAAGCACCTTCTCTGGTGGAGAAGGAGTTTACACTGGAAAGCTAATACTGTAGCTGCCCCAATATAGTGTGTTCACAGACACTGGAGGATCCTCTTTAAGTGTCTGTCAAGTATCTGGTCACATATTACTCTTAATCTTGTTTCCCTCTTCTTATTGCAGCTTTGTCTTGCTCTTTAAAATGCAAATATTCCAAATTAAACTGCATATCTGCAGGGGATGTCAGTTTTTTTTAATCAGCATAACCAAGTAAACCTGAAATGCCTAAAACAGGAGCAGGCCGGGACCTCGGCAGAATATATTTGAGCAGGTATTTGATTAATGTGAGATGTGCCTGCAGAGGTTTTCCTCTGTCATGATCATAAGACCTCTACAAGCTACAACTGTCCCACAGCTCGGCAAGAAAAACTGTTGAGTGTCACATTAGACTTCTTTCAACATTCTTGATTAGTTACTGGGTTTTGTAATTTTATTGTAAGGTGTCTATCATACGTGTTCACAGCGCCCGACTCCAGACCTCTCAATAGCCATCTCCAATTTGTTGCATGTGAGAAACCCAAGATTATATAAATAGATGTGTCCAAATCATCTATTTTCACAATTGTTACAAGTCCTTTCCTCACTGCTGTTGTGCAGTTTTTGACACAGATTCCACCCCTGTAGATAAAATGCATGGGAAAAGTGCACTTCTCCACTGTCACCACTAGGAGGACCTCGCTCCTGTATAAAGCACCGGAGAGGGTTTGCCTTCCTTTGTAAGGATCTACAGTACTTTACTTCATAAAGTGAATGAGTTCCTATGTTGTGGAAGAGGAATATAAAATGTGATCATATAAATGACTGAGGTACATATACATTTGGAGGGCTGTTATTTTGCTGTCCTACCAGAATTCTGTGATAAAAATATTTGTTGAGCAGTTGGTCATTTGCATATTTAAAAAAAGACTATGATGCTGTATATCTGCTAAATTAATGAGACGTCTCCATTTATTAATATATGTAAGGCTCTATTGGGGTACATGTCCCTCGTTACTCAAATCACGACTATTTATTATTGAAACAACTATGGGTAAAGGTAAGAATGTAGAGATAATCTTATGGTGTAAAGCTTTGGCCCCATATTGCACATATCTTTGCACTCGTCTGCATTTCACAGTAATGACTAATTTGATTATCAAATAGCCCCAGTTTGATTTGTATATCAACAAATCATGAATAAATAAAAAAAAATCTAATCATGTTTTGTAACTCAAAGCCACAAAACACATCAATTCTCCAATTACTTAGAAAGTGTATTGTGCAATGGATAACTGGTGGTGACACACCTGTCTCCATAGAGGTCCCTGGACAGACATCTTTCTCCACACCTTCCCTTCCTGCCTCAGGTTGGCTTATTTGTTAAACATCTATAAAACAAGCATTATTTAGACTGTGTGACAAGAGCATCAGATATTTTACAGGCTATTCATTAAATACAGAATGAATAGTCCAACATTGGCATATAAAGGTATATGTGATGTACGCTGACTGACCACTTTATTAGGCACACCTGTACAACTGCAGGCACTTCAATGCAGCACTTCCACCTTAACATCTTGTTATGAAGCTCAAAAATGTTTGTTATTGGTGAAATCATCATAAATGTATAAATTCAATTATATGCTTATTATTGAGGTCATAGGTAAAAGTGGTGCAGTACTGGACTATATTATATTCAGAGGTGTTCCTAATAATCTGGGAAGGACAAAATATAGACACCTTTTAATGTATAATATTCAATACATAACTAAACTTATACATTTACAACAATTTCACCAATAACAAACATTTTCAGCTTCATAAACACAGATGTTAAAGCTCCAACAGTCATGTTATTAAGACTCTGACGACTCCTGGGGCTCAGAAGCTCTGCACACTGGTACCTCCATGGCTTTTAAAACATTAACGTAAGATTAACATCTTAATCTATGATGGCTATATGAAAATACAAGTACACATTGTGGTGGCAAAACAATCTTAAACAGATGTTAAAGATGATACTTAACACTATTTCTATTTAAGGAAACATTACCAGAACCTAACATTTAAGAAATGATTAGTTTCACGATGCATGTCATTTGTATCTAACAAAGAAATGGACTACAGGGTTTTTGAAGGAGTTTTGGGATTTTGTGTACAGGTTAATAATGTTACACATGGCCAAAGGAGTGGAATGACAGCCAGCGGGAGCCTAGTTTTAAAAAAATGTTTATGGCAGTAAACCCAACTTAATGTATTACTGCTACAACTTTAGCAGAAGATGTTAGATTTAAGTTAGAGCAGCTTGACTTGTACAGTATATTGAATGTTATGTTTGTTCTCATAAAAACAAAATTAACTGTTAGAGTTTTTTAAAGGAGTTTGGACACTTTCTATCAGCAAAAGAAACAAGCTTATAAAGTGAAACAATGTGCACTGTCCTTGATACTGAAGAGAAGACTCCTGAAGAACCTTTGACTCAGGAAAATGAAACACTGACCTCAGAATGTAATCTTGTCAATCTTCCACCAATAAATAGTCTGCAGAAACATGCTTAAGCTTCACATTTATTTCAGTTACAATTTTTATAAATTACAATTTTACACACAAATTGTGTTTAAGAAATATCTGATGCTTCATTAACAGTATTTTGACAACTGTTTACATTTTTATGCCTCTGCACAGGCGACAGCTATGGCTGGAAAAACGATTTTACATGGCGTCAACCTCTACACTTGACAGTACAATTCAGTTTTACTTGTAAAGCACCAAATCACAACAAAAGTCCTCTTAGGACACATAGTAAGGCCTAGAGTCCTAAACTTTAGTATTATCATTAGACAGAACCCCAACAAACCCCCCTTGAGCAAGCACTTAGCGACAGTGGAGAGGAAAAAAAACTCCCTTTACTTCTGGAAGAACAGAACAGGTCCGACAGACCCGGGCTCAAGGTGGGCGGCCTCCTGCCTCGGCCGGTTGGGGTGAGTGGATAGTTTTCATAGTCATCACCATCATGGAGAATAAGGCAAATACATCCAAAGTGAGTGTCCCAGAGCTTATTTAGTCATCTGAGCTGTCTGTCTCTGTCAGGCTTGCTCCCTCCCAAAAACCTCACCCCCGGTTGGTATCGCAAGTACCGCGCAGTAGAGCTCTGACAACAATCCTATCTACCTATGAAACTGCTAAATGTATCCTGACATCAGCGATAATACTTTGCAGGGGCGGGATAAATTCCCCTGCTGGGAGGCCTCCCACATCTGGAAAAATCTAATGAGCATACGAAATGCAAAGCTTTCCCTCCCCAGGCCTACCTGAAGCACGAGTCTCCCCCTTGAAACTTGGCAGAGCGAAACAACTCAGAAATTTAACCCTGAACCCTAAAGTAAAAGTTATCAAAAATTTGGGTGGTGATGATTTAGAAAACATATCAAAGCTCAACTTCATGTATATGGAGAATCGCTCATTGATCTAACAACTAGCCTGCCCAGGTACTTCCACCATTTAATGATGGAAAAACAACCTAGCCCTGTGCAACCCGAGCCCTGTTAAAGCTCCAAAATTCAAACTGTTTTCAAATACTCAAGAAACACTGACAACTTGAAAAAACTCAAATCCTTCAGAGGAAAGGTTACAGTTCAGTTGCTGCAGTCATCCAAGGCAGTGGTGGACTCAGGTAAAGCTAACTGACCTTCCCTCCAATGATCAAGTCCCTTCAAGATGTCATCAAGTCAGTCTCATCTCTCAGGACCAAACAGGTTGGTGCAGATGGCTACAGCAGCCTCCTCATCTCCGATCGATCAGTTGTGGTCCCATTTGCATCACCAGGTTGTTTTCTCCAACTTCAGTTTCCTAAGGTTGGGCATCGGAGTTAAAAAAAGAAAGTCACTCAAGCATAAGTACAAATAAAATAAAGATTTAATGAAGTGGACAGAAGTGGATACCTGATATCTCTGAAGAGATCAAGAAGTTGTGGTGCAGAGGCGCTGTCGCCGATGAGGGTGTGGTGCAGCTGAACACAACTTCTGGGTCCCAGCATCCCACGTCAGTTTCTCTGGCAGGACAGGAAACAGCTTGGCACACTGCAATTTTTCCAACCAGAAAGTACTTTTCTCTAATTTATCACATATTAGAGCCTGTCTGCCTTCCTGATTTCCCTCACAATGGCTTCATTCTCCCTGACTGGTGCTTTCAAATACTCGACTAGGGTGTTGTGGAACACAGTGCAGTCCATTTAGAAAGGGGAAGAGGAAAAAAAAGGAAGTCATCAGAACCATGGTCCTGAAACTAGACGTGTTCAGTGAGGACAAGAAATGTAGGTCTGTTAGTTTACAAATGCAATGCTCAACTACAGATGAGAGGACGTGAGAAGTGTGCTGGCTTCTCTGTCCTTTATCCAGTCAGGTCTCCTCTGTGCATCCTCATCTTGAACTGTGATAGTTACAGCTGGCTCTCTCTCACCAAATCTACCCCTTAAACATGTCAACATCAATTGTACAGTTCTCTTAGTAGGATCATAACAGCATACCATGTTAGCTGATTCACATAACCAGATGGATCCTTGTCTAGTTTTGGAAACTGCACAACCATGGCACCCAGCTCCAGCTCAGTAGGGGTCCATGATCTATCCTGTATTTGCCTCAACTCTGCCTTACTTCTCTAGGTACCTGCACTTCTCCTTCGAGTACAGTCACTTTTCCAACAAATATATTTATTTAAAAAGAGACTCAAGAACTGTCCAAACTACCAATAACTTGAAAGCTCAGACTCCTTCACACACACTGAGAAGAAGGGGAAGGAGAAAAGCCTTGCCATCATATGATGCGAGTCGACTCATTTGACCTCGTTCTCTGTAGTGTGGAGAAGCCCTGGCTTCCTTAACCCTGTATGTGTTTGGAACTGAACTAGTTGTTACTCTGCACTGATTTAACAAGATAACACACAACCTCTAATGTTTCCAAAAAGCTGTGCAAATATCACTCTGTCTCCCATGTTTGTTCTCCATTCATTTTCTCTCACTTCCAATTTGTCAGTTTAGAAAATATGTTGTGTACATTGTGTAGGAATATATAGATACAAAAGAGGATAGACAAATTTATGTGGCCAAGCTAAGAGCTCACAAGAAATAACACTGTAATGAGGACTTTCTCTTTAATAACTTAGGTATTGTCCCTGCAGAGCTCAGTTCCTTCCTGTGTTACTTCAATACAAAGCCGGTTAACAATGAGACATTCAGCACACAGTATAATCTTGCTATAAGAAAGTTAAGAGTAAAACTTAGTATTTTTTTCCATATAGTGCCAGATACTACATCTGGACACCTTCGTGGCCAAAAATGCCCCATTGACTTCCATTACAACCTCATTTTTTAACTGCCATTACACTATAAAACCATGCATTCTGTAATAGCAGCATTTCATTTTGAAGAAAAGTAGTGATATTTGACATTTTTACTATATTTCGCCAAATTTAATTTTTTCCCCCCTTTGTAGACTGATGCATGAAATTCTTATATTTTTGAGAATCTGTAAGCATGCACTGATTATTTCAGGGGTGAAAAAAATGGTGTGTTTTGAGGGATTGTTTCATGTGTCTTTGAAAAGGTGCTTGAGTTAAAACATGCCCTCCTGCCTTTGCTGTACTCAAAAACAAAAACGACTCTTAGTATGTATATGCAGATGGCTGCTTTCACAGCTAAAGATAAACATGCAGCTTGGCTGAGGGGTCATTACATTAGCAGAGAAGCAGAAAGACATGAGGCAAAAATGAAAACACATTTCAGTGCAGAAGAGGCTTTAAAAACGGTCATGCCAGTGAGCTGGAGGACTCATCTGAAGAAGACGAGGGAGGGGAGTTCTCCACTTCTATTAGTGCCTCTGACCCTTCCTCTGAAAGTGTGCTCCCCTTCCTCATCTACTTCAGGTGAGTCCTGCAGCTCACTGGCAGATGAAGGCTTCATTACAGTTTCTAAAGCCTCTTCTGCACTCAATTGTCTCTTCATTTTTGCTCCAGGTCTTTCTACTTCTCTGCTAATGAAATGACCCCCTCAGCCAAGCTGCATGTTTTTTTTAAGCATAAGCATAAACTTTATTGCCAAGAGAACACAAGGAATTTGACTCCAGCTCAATGGTCCTCCATGCGCACAACATAAAAATAAAATACACAATATATACAAGTTTAAAAAAAAAAATCACAAGCTAAAAAAGCAACATAGACTAGCTGTTCATCAGTGTAATAGCCCGGGGAAAGAAACTATCTCTGTGACTGGATGTCTTGGCGCACAGTGACCTGTGGCGCCATCCAGTGTTTATCTTTAGCTGTGAAAGCAGGCACGTCGTGCATACACACACTAACAGTCGTTTTTGTTTTTGAGTACAGCAAAGGCAGGAGGGCATGTTTTAACTCAAGCACCTTTTCAAAGACACATGAAACAATCCCTCAAAACACACCACTTTTTTCACCCCTGAAATAATCAGTGCATGCTTACAGATTCACACACACTCACACACACAAAAGCTCTTGGGGCCCCCTGGTAGTTGCTGGGCTCCATAATATGACTGGCAAAAATACAAGAATTTCATGCATCAGTCTACAATGGGAAAAAGGTTGAATCTGGCGAAATATAGTAAAAATGTCAAATATCACTACTTTTTTCAAAATGAAATGCTGCCATTACAGAATGCATGGCTTTATAGTGTAATGGCAGTGAGATTAAAAAATGAGGTTGTAATGGAAGTCAATGGGGCATTTTTGGCCACGAAGGTGTCCAGATAAAGTATCTGGCACTACATGAAAAACACTAATGGAATCAAATCAATTTTGTTGCTAATCTTTGACATATCCAAGCCTCCTCATCCTCCTACTATCTATTATATGGAAAAATAATTCTTTTTTGTAATAAATAATTCATAATTCAAATCATTAACTGGCATTTAAAGGGTTAAAATCCTGAGAATGATTGAAATGTTTAGTAGTTTTGAGCAAGTCCGAAGTTGTTTAAGAGATTTATGGGGAAAAAAGCAGAAAACAAAATATTGATGTATGATGATTTAATAGCAGTTTTGCGTACACTTTTGCCAGGAAGGTGTCCAGAGCGTACAAAATGCATAAATATAGTATAAATGACATGTCAGAGTAAAGACACTAGATTTCAAAAATATTCCTAAAAAGAATCTTTCCTGCCAAATTTCATGCCATAAGCTGTAACGCAGCCAAAATGATAGCCATATAAAAAAAAATGTTGAAAAATGTACAAAAATGCCCGAGGAGGGCAAAAGAGTTAAGGAGCTAAACAGGAAGCAGCACAGCTAACGTTAGCCTACAACAGAGGTGGATAGATTAGCTAACTTCCGGGTGGTCACTCACCTTTTTGGATCCTTTTTTCCATGCGAATCCAGATGTAGTCCATCCAGCGTCTTACGGTTTTTCCGATGGTTTTCTCTCAAACCAATAAACCATGACATTAAATAGCATAATGCAGCCAAGCTGCCTCACACTCGGCTGGTTATGCATGTGTCTGACTTCACAGACCTGTAGCAAGAGGAGACAACGGAATATAAGTCAATAGACGATTAAAACAAATCGTTTTTCTTATATATTGTGACGACCTCCACGCCGGGGGTCATTACATATATATATATATA